TCCATTTCTGAAAAAAAAAAAAATGTCATGCAAATATGAATGCAACTAATGTAAGAATGGACACCTAAAAGTTATTCTCTATCCCAAACTTAAATCAAACATTGTCCTCAATGCAAAATAAAAGTAAGAGAAAAAAGAAATTGCCCAGGTTTTGCACTTCAAAACTTAAAATTTAAATTCTGAAGTTGAGTTGTCTTCAATTAGAGGAGACTTTTAGCATGTAAATTTCTATAATCTTGTTCCCCAAACTTGTTTAATGACCTGGCCAAAACCAAAGAACAACAATTTATGCATTAACTTGATGCATAAAGAGGAAAAATAATAATAATAATAATAATAATAATAAATCTAAACTATTAAAATAAAAGACAAAGAAATAAAGAAAAGAAAATTTTATGCTTGGGTTGCCTCCCAAGAAGCACTTAATTTATAGTCATTAACTAGACTTTCTACCACTCCAAGGTGGTTTTGGATCGAGTCGTAGGGCATGTCCTCTTATTTTCTTAAATCTAGGCTTTCTTGCCCTTAAGTTAATTCCACCATAAGATTTTCTTCAATGATTATTCTGTGGTGGTTTAGGTTTAGTCCAAGAGATGTGCCTTCCCAATTCTTCTAGGATTGCCTCCTTAGATTCCAAGGAAGATGATGATGTGTTCAAGCAATTTATGTATTCTTTGATTGGGTCCTTTGCTTGAATCAAATAAATCTCAAATGGATCCTCATAAGTGTTTTTCTACAAAACCTCATCAACCATATCAATAACAAAATAATCATTAAAATCAAATTTGGTTAAAGGAGACTCCCCATTGAACACTTCAAATGACACTTGAGCTTTTTCCTCTTCTTCCTTAGGGACATCCTCTTGTTTAGTTTCTACATGCATAATTTCTACTTCTCCAAGTTGTCTTTTAATCTCCAGGGGTAAGGTACTTACCTCTTCTTGTTAATTCGTTATTGTTGCACTAGGTAACTCACCTTTTATTTCTTCAGCAACTAAGTTGAGCACATAACTTGATTGAACTTCCATATTTTTATCCAAACACGTCTCCTCTTCTTGAGCTTGAAACCCTGATTGTGCATCCAATATATCTTCATTACCCATGAGGAGTTTGGATAATTTATCCAATCAAAGTTGCATGTGTTGGGATGAGAATTATACTGTTGGCTATAAAAATCACAAGAAAAATCAACATGTTTGTTAAATGGTTTAAATAAGCAATTAGAACTAAAATGGTCTAATTCACACTATCGACAAGTAATATTAAATTGTTTTGTTATAACCTTCTTTAATTTCTGCTTTTCAATGACTGTTGAAAGTTGTTCAAGTTCATCATCGTCAAATTCTACTTCCCAATTGATAGTTATTCTTCAACTTGTGCCCTTAACTCTCAAGCAACATAGTGATAACTCACATCAGGGTCGATGACAACTCGATTCATAAATAAACCTACAAAAACAAAAACAAAAGAAATGACAAAAAAATCAAAGTAAAGTAATAAAAGAAAAGAAAATGTTTAAATTAAATCTAAAATTAACCAACTTCGATATTAATTAAATCAACAACCCCCGGCAACGACGTCAAAAACTTGATGCACTAAAATTATCTAACAAGTGTACTAGCCGCTTCAATTAATATAATGATGAAAAGAGTGTTGAATCCACAAGGATTGTGTTTAACTAAGTACCAAAATAATTAATCTAAATTTATTTGCACAATTGAACAAAAAGAAACTTTAATTAAAAATAATAAAAAGAAACTAACAATTAAAATAAAACTAATCAAGATATAAGACATTAAGGTATTGATTTCACCATAATCAATCTATATAAATTTTGAATTAATATACTTTTAAAACCAATTCGTTGAGTGTCATTGCATGTGATGGCATATTTTCCTAAATTAACTAATTAACTTTCTTAAATCAAGTTAATCATTCACTTACACTACAAACAAAATGCCTTTTACCAACGGAAGTCTATACTGACAGATTGAAATCCATCTGTATACATGGGTCTATACCAACGGAAACTATAAGCAGTTAGTATACACAAGTATGTACCAACAGAAAACATAAACAGTTAGTATATATTGATCTATACCAACGGAGAAATATGTCCGTTAGTATACATTGAGTTTATACAAACAGTTTACTAATTGTTTGTCTATATAGAGTGTATAATTCACTGTTTATTAAACATGATTTTTTCCTCTTTTATTTTAGCCGTCTGTATACATTTTCCCTTCCTTCCCCAAATTCTAAGTTTCCCTCCACCTGTAGCCCTAAGTATTTCCGTCCCCCTCCTAAATCTCCAAAATTTAGAATCGATTTTCCTAAAACTCAAAACCCCATTCGAACCTAACTGCAAAATTCAAAAGCTCGACTCTAATCCATCAACGGCAGGAGGTCAGTTGGTGAGTTTGTGTTGATTTCGGGTGATTTCTTCCTAATCCTCTGCATTTCTTCTATATTCATGGGTTGATTTC